AATTTTATAAGGGCAAAAGTAAAATGCTTGAATTTGATTAATATGATAATTTATTTTTTTATTTTTTTATTTATTTTACAGAATTTATATGCCATCCTTCTCCCGAAGGACTCAGGGCGGCGAACACAGATTAAAAACATACAATAATAAAAACCCACTAAAACCATTTAAAAATAATAAATAATAAAAACCCAAGGATCAGATAATCAAAAACATTTTTCTAAAGGCTAAGTGTAAAACAAAAGAGACCCCAAGAGATAAACTGGTGATGTTTTTAACTTCATCATCCATCTGAAAATGGGGATGTTTTAAGGATTGCATGTATTTCCTATTGGATCTGGACAGTTATGTGTCATAACAGTGATGTGCATATGCCTGTATTGCATATATTCAAATTTCTCATTCCTGGGAAATATACATAAGACCATTTTTTGTTAATTTAACTAGGTTAAAAGGCACAGTATTTACTTTAATTCTCTTGTATGGTGTTAAGAGAACATGCATTACTCTTATGATCCTTTTGTTCTTGGTTGCTCAGAACAATAATTAATATGGAAAATGTTGGGGGTCATGGTTACAAAAATACTGTACAAAAATCACTACGATTAAATGAATTGAAATCTGAAGATAAGAGAAAGAATCTTCCTGCCTAAAACTGAACTAATGAGTGAGACAAGATTACATGAAATATATTATGTTTAGGTAACCAGGCAAACTCTGCATATATTGTTCTTTTTCCATTCCTAATGCAGTTATCAATCTGAGTATAGAAATCATGCAAACACTGAAAAAGAGGACAGCCTTGGATGAAGGCATCAACTTTAGCAACCCGGAAACAAGAGTAACATTGTCTCTTGAACGCTGTTACTTCGTTCAACTTTTACAAACACAATAGAAAGTTTTAAACTTTGGAAAATATTCCAGTCCTGCCAAAAAAAATAAACTGGAATATCCAAGGTATTCTGTACTGAGTCACTTCATTCATATTATGTAAAAAGGTCAATTTAAATCTTCTTTTGGAAGACAGGAGTGGCTTTTCATTTTTTCTCCCAAAGAAATTAACTCACGTTTGCCAAAACAATTCAGCTATTGTTTATAAAGGTGACATATGATTGAATATTATCAATGAGTATTATTGACCACAATATGTACAATATTGTTTTGATTCAACTTTCCCCTAATTGATAGTGTCAGTTTTCCCAATTTCTAGCAAGGCTGCTTTAATTCAATTTAGTTGTATAATCTTTTAAAAGTAATATGTTTTTCTCCTTTGTCTGTATTAAGCCATTGCCAGGTCTTAATGGAAACAACATTGAACTAAATAAGCTTTTTCATTTTTTTATTTGTTTAAGAAAGTATACTATAACAAAGGCAGACTTATCTACCTAGAATCATATGGAACACTATAGAAGAAATACAAGAATGGTTAGCTAAACCTTCACATAGGCCTGGGAAGGAAGAGAGGATGAGAAAAGATAACTACACCTTGACTCTCTTTAGTATAAGAGGGAAATTCTGTGAGATATTCAGTAGCAGAATTCCAGTAGTCTTGGAGTAACTTATTTCTTCAGCTGGCCTACCTAAAAGGGCAGATTATGTAGTTAAAATCTAGTAATTTAGAAATGGGTAGTACCTTTTATTTAATCCCCCCTCCCTTCCTATGCATTTTTTTTAAAAAAAGGTGTATAAAAGATTATCTCAAAATCAGAATAAATCACGTGCCTAAATTTCCTGACAAATAACTGTATAATCTTATTCAATAATCAGTCAGGTCCCATCTGAAGGAAGAAAATAAAAAAGTTTTCGTTCAAACTTTGGACTCCTTACCTTATTGGGACAGAGGGCAGCTTCAAGAAAAAAAGTGATATATGAACAGCAAATAGATACCTAGGAAGGACTTATATTTGAAACTATGCCCATCTTCCAAACCAGATGAGAAAACTTGGATTTTCATTATTACATTGCAAAGCAATTTTATTATTTGGATATGGGAATTGCCATGGGAGAGTGTAATTAAATCTGAATGAAATGGATCAGTAATATTTATAGAGCAGTTCTGGAATAATCTTACATAAATTGAAGTCTTGCATTATATCAAGACTACTGAGAAAAAAAGAGGCTCAAGAGGCATTTGGGAGAAGTTCAGTGTTGCACAAAGAGATAAATCTTTAGGAATTAACCACACATATCCAAAGGTCACAAAGTTCTGGTTGTTGTTGTTGTCAAGGGCTACCATGTCATAAACCAAATTTAGACAAATAATGGATGGCAGAGATACAGAAAACTTTCTTTGTTCCATTTGTTTGTTGATCCAGATTTTTATAGCCTAAATGTGGTCAGCCTAAACTGGACAGGTTAACAGTAGTAGAAGTGTAACACATACCATAATGAGCCCAGAAATGGTAGATCTGGTATAGAATGGATTTGTGTCAAGAATTTTATAGTCTTTCAACTATGACATTGGCTTTGATATGTTACTATTCCCAATATAATATTATTTAACATAATAAAGAAGATCAAGAGAGAGAAATCATACCCAGGTACTATGTCCCATCAGATTCTGAAAGTCACTAATGACCTCGGAAAATTCTCTTTTTTTGTTTGTTTGTTTATTAAAAAAGAAAGGTCTTTCTGTGTCTTGATGGAAAATAAATAGTATATACTGAGGAAATATCTTTATCTCTGATCCTCATGAAGCAACATGTTCTTTATTAAAAAAAAATTGGAGATGATGAAAAGTATTTACATATTAAACACACCTAGAGAATAAGATTGTAGCTGCAATAAAATATTATATTTAAAGGGGCAGATATGTTTAAAACCATCAGAGCATTTTCTCATTAAATAATGCCAAATATCTAGAGTTTATGTTTTCATGACAAGTTAACAGAAGTAATAACAAAAGTTGTGAAGGAATGTTGAGGAAACTTCTGGAATAAATTTATTTATTTATAAACTGCAGCAGTGTTTTTCAACCTTAGCAACTTTAAAATATGTATACTTCAAGTCTCAGAATTCCCCAGCCAGTATGCTGAGTATACAGTCCCAAATGTCTTGGAGGATATTAGGTTGAGGAGGTAAATCAATACATACATATACTCACTAGCCACTGATTTATTGTTAAGGTCAGCTGTATATGTGGAATTCAATTTTTTTAATACCAGTGTAATCAACGCTTACTGAAGGATTTTGTTTTATTTTAAAATGCATTTTAGTTGCACTACAAATATTGCTAGCATCTCCCATTAGTCACACTCAAACAAAGTAACAGTCTTTGCAAGATCTTGGCATTAAGACAAAACACCAGGGAAAATGCTGTAGAGTTTAATAAACAGCATGATATTTCATGCATGACTGGCAAGTGACAAGCTATTTGAGTACTAGCCAAGTAAAGCTGTTGGGGAAGATAACACCTCAGCAGGAAGCTATTAGTATGGCTTCCATAGTGTTGGCTGCTTCTTTTAATTGCAGAAATATTTTATCATTTATTGCTTGGTTTCAAAGAACCGATCCATGTCACAAAGCACTAAAACTTGGGATTAAAGGCTGGAGATTTCCAAGAGTCAAATACACTTGGAGCCAGATTTTAGAACTTGTTGAACTTTGAGTTAAAAATGTTGATTTCAATTTTTTTTTTAATTTGATTTATATGCCGCCCTTCTCCGGAGAGTCAGGGCGGCTTACAATGCGTTAAGCAATAGCCTTCATACTTTTGTATATTTATACAAAGTCAGTTTATTGCCCCCACAAATTGGGTCCTCATTTTACCTACCTTAGAAAGAATGGAAGGCTGAGTCAACCTTGAGCCTGGTGGGATTTGAATTTACAGTAATTGCAGACAGATGGTGTTAATCACAATGCTTTTAGTCTGCTGAGCCACCAGGCCCAATTGTAGTTTTGTAGTTGAAATTGTAATCAGTTCTCAAGAATTCTTTCTATTAAGTTACAAATATAAAAATCAGATTTGGTTTCTGGAAGGGCAAACATTTAGAAACTACGAAGAATATTTACATACTTAATTTTGACCTGCCTATTGAAAAACAAAGGTGCTTTATCACTATGAAATATGAATTTCATTGTTGTAAAACATTAAATCAGAAATATAGTTTGTTGAATAAGTCATACTGTCATCTTTAACAAATATTGCCAAAGCATACCTTGAAAAACTGTTGGTGACTGTTTTCTATTACCAGTACTCTTCTACCGGCTCAGCTTAGAGCTTTAGGAATTTAGTGTTAGCATTTTTAGATAATTTTACACTATTTTCCAAGAATTATTGTGCTTGAATTACTTACTGAGTGCACCAATTCTAAGAGAAGTCAGGCCCCAACAAGAGTTTATTTTCTGAAAACCAAAAGTTATATTTTTGCAAATATATTGAGATAATACTGGTATATTTAATGTATATTATTTTGTGGCTGTGTTTCCAACTTAGTTACTCAGTTTTGCAAATTAATGGATTACATTTATATTCTACTTTTAACTTCAGTTCCATTCTCTGATAAAATATGGGCAATTTCACCAAATATCATACTCAGATGTAGAAAATATGATCACATACTCTTTAACTGCCAACTATATGCACTAGCTAGGATGTAGTATTTAGAGCCACTAATTGACAGGAGAAAGCCAAGTGTGATATACAGTAGTACTTAAGACAACAGGCAATAAGTCAGGTACCTGTGAGTTCTAGTCCTGCCTTAGGCACAAAGCCAGCTGGCTGACCTTGGGCCAGTCACCCTCAGCCTAGGAAGAAGAAGGCTATAGCAAATCATTTCTGAAATCTTGCCAAGAATATTGCAGGGACTTGTTTAGGCAGTTGCCAGGAGTCAATATTGACTCGAAGGCAACAACAGCAACAAGAAAAACTACAGGATAACACACTGGGTTCTTAGAATATCCCCCACCCCTTCCATATGTTTGTCCTTTCAGGGACAGATCTGAGTTTTACACAATCAAAATATCATAGTGTGTAACTTTTCTTTCTTTTTATCCTATAGATAAATCCAGGAAGTAAAGCTGCTGTCGCTAACCTTTGTCCAGGTGATGTCATTTTGTCAATTAATGGTGACAGCACAGAAAATATGACACATTTAGAAGCACAAAACAAGATCAAAGCTTGTCTGGATCAACTGATACTATCTGTGAACAGGTAAATGTCTCAACTTTCTATCTCATGCTGACCTATCAGGTCTATACGCACATGTGGTTGGGCAGTTTATACCCAGTGATTGACAGTCCACAAGCAGATGTTCATTGCCTAACCTCTTTGTTATATTCCTTGTGGAAGAGGAAAACTCTGGTTATTGTTATTATTTATGTAGCACTTTTTAGCCTGGTTTCATGGCCTGTTTTGGTGTAAAGAAAGAAAAACAAATCTTTATTATTATTTTCAATTGTTGTTGTAATCCCCTATGTGGCAAATTAATAAATTATTTTAATTCTCAGCATGTGTGTATAGGCCATTTAAAAAAAATCCTCTGGTTTTAGTTCATTCCGCCATGAATAATTAAATATGACATACTCCAGCATTCTCGGTAAAATGTTCTAGGCATACTGGGAAGAGAAATACAATCCTGTTCCTCTTCCTTATATGTATATGTATATGTATATGTATATGTATATGTATATGTATATGTATATGTATATGTATATGTATATGTATATGTATATGTATATGTATATGTATATGTATGTATGTATGTATATATATATGAGAAATGGAATTGAGGGAAAACAGAAGTAAGAAAATCTTAGGATAGTAGAAAGAAAGTTGTTAAGAAGTTTTGAGGGCCCAGTCTTTCTGCAAGTTGCAGAATTTTCATAAAAAACCAATTTTAATTGGAATTCCAGATACTGGCAGGGTTCTATTTGTCAGTATGAAGGCCTTTCAATAATTGGGATTTGATCTCCTGGTTTCAGAGAACAATGTCTTCTTTCCAAATATTGGCAGTTTGGAACACATAGCACATCCAGTTGGTGATCCCTATTCTTTCCTTAATATTGGCTCTGTTACTCTCTAACTCTATTGTCAGAAGTGCTTCCTGACAGATATTACACATTTGGAAACCAGCCTTTTAAGAGTGATTCCAAACAGAGTGTCAGGGATCTGTTAATACAAGAGGAACCAAGCCCGTGGTGATTCAGTTCAGGTAAACTAATAATTAAAGTTTGTGATCTGGATTCTTGCCTTTACTGACAGTGGTCCAACCTCAGATCAGAAAATAACATCAAGAATGGAATTGGGAACTTGAAAAACTTCTCTTAGGGATTTTGACTGAAACAATTTCAAGATGCATGGATTGCAAAATAATCAAATTAAGCTCACTATAAGATTTGTGATAAAGTTGTAATATGTCAGTACTTTTGAAGCTAAAGAAGCCCAGAGTTATTGTAATATGTTTGACATCTTAGGCTCTATTTACATACTGTTGGTGAGACCCATAATTATGGGGGGGAGGGGGACAAAGTCACATGTTTCAGTATTTGATCCTGTACAATTTTTACTGAAATTTTACAATTTTAAGTAAATGGCATTTTTTAAGTCTTTAGGTTTGGTGTCTTCTAAAAGCCTATTCTGAAGATAAATACAGGTAATTTTTAATATGGCAGAGTGTACTGTTTACTTTTGAGTAAAGGGAATGCCTAGGTTGGTCATAATTACATATTTTATAAGAAGATTTGAACTTGATTAATTATAGGAGGGGTATTTTACATTGGTTTTTGTCTCTTTGTAATCTCTCAGTGGAATTGTGTCCAAAAGTCTCACAGAAAATTGCAATTTATTCTATAATCTTGCCAAAATAATTTTTATGCATTTAATGTTATTTTAGTGATTTTAAAGATACTTGTATCTGAAAGACCTTTTTAACCAAAACCAAAATGGCATTCTGATATACCAAGTATTTTCTCTTTACTGTTTATACTTTGTCTTAAAAAATGTTAGGGTACTACAGTCTTGAAAACTCTGAAACTTCAGGTTAATGTTCTTAACATGTTAGAAAATAAATTCTAATACAGTGGTACCCAATACTCATTGTTAATTGGTTCTGGGAGATGTGATGAGTACCAAAATCGATGATTACCAAACAATTTTTCCCCATAAGGGATAATGCCTTCACAAGGCAGACAAGACCGATAAGTTCTAGCTTGTGTGTTGACTACCAAACTAACGATGAGTACTAGGACAAAATTTTTCCATCAAAATTGTCAAATACAAAATTCAATGAGTTTCAAAGCAGTTGAATAGATACCACTGTATCTCTGTTTTTCCAGTTTTCTCCTATAGTAAACTGGGGTGTTGATTTGGCACACAAAATGGATCAAATTTTTGTTCAATTAATTTTGTTTATGTCTCTGATACTGGCCAGTTCTACCTCCAGAGAAAATGTGAATACTTCACAAAATTTGGATGTCTGCTTTTTCCTTATGATTTAACATTTCCAACTTCTTCCACTGTAAGATTATTTTTGACATGAGAATAGGAAATATCCTTCTGTGATGCTTCCCAGCATATAAACATTCCACAAAAATACATAAAAGGAAATGGGGATTTTTATTGCAGCATATACATAAAAAGAACCTGTGTGAAATCTCAGAAGACCTCAACCATATACGTTTATGTCAGTTCAAAATTTCCCATCAACCTTGGTGAGAATACAATGCATATACCATATACAATAACAGAAGATTTCATAAATAAAGGTCCTGTATTAAAATTCCTGATTAAAGTTGTTAAAATGTCAGAACTTTGGAAGAGACTGTCTAAGTGTCTATATAATGCATTTATCTTTAAATTAGAAATCCATATAATTTAGGCAGCAGTTCATAATTCTGTAACAAAGTATATAAATGATATACTCTGCTCAGAGTTATTTGTTGAGATGAATGGCTGTAGAAATCAATCAAACAGACAAATAAATGAAGTCAAATTTTGCTTTTCTCTTTTTTTCTATAATTTAAGATAGCATTTTCAAAGTTTGTCTACTTTGAACTTTTTTGTGTGCTATATGTGTGTGTGTCTATATGTATACTACAATAAATGCTTATCTAAACTAACTATAAAGTTAGAACATATTACATTATATATTATATACTAATATTATAATACTAATATAAATATAAATATATTACAATTTAAGATTATTTCCTTCTGAAGAATCTAGCTATTTTATGGTACTGAACTTGACTTTGTGGTAATTAAAACTTGGGGTCTTATTCTCTGTAATGTTTCATATATAGTACATGTAATTACTGCACAAGGTTATTTAGAGTTTAGAATATCATCAGGTTTGCCCTCACCAGCCATTAAATACAAGTAAGATGTATATTTGTTTTCTTGATTTAAAATATTTTTTCATGTCTTTTAAATTGTCCTTTAGCATTATTTCTGTCTAAGTTGTGCTTGCTATTTACACTTAAAGACACCTAGTTTTGTTTAAATGCTTCATTTTATTCTAATTTATTATATATATATTATATATTTGTAGTGTGTTATTTGGCTAAGAGGATTTTCCCTAAGTCATCCACCCGCCATTTAATTAACTATAAATAATTTCATTGTGGTTGTGCTATATTACATGAATCTCCAGAGAAATTCTAAATTCATATACCATATCTAGAAGATTGCATTAGAAATTTTGTTGGAACCCAGTATATATTTGATTTAGATGAATCTACTTGGCCATTTTTAGCCATATAAAATCATTTTCTTAAATATATATATATTATAAATGTACAAAAATGCAAAAATTTAGCAATATTAGGCAAGTCTAATCTGGAGGGCTTGGGACAGGGGTTGTTCCTCTGTCCTAGTCCTATTAGACATCTCAGCGGCTTTTGATACCATCGACCATGGTATCATGTTGCACCGGCTAGAGGAGTTAGGGGTGGGGGGCACCGTCCTACTGTGGTTCTCCTCCTTTCTCTCTGACTGGTCGCAGTCCATGTTGACAGGGGGGCAGAGGTCGACCCCGAGGCCCCTTGTATGTGGGGTGCCACAAGGGTCGGTCCTCTCGCCCCTACTGTTCAACATTTTTGTGAAGCCGCTGGGTGAGATCATCCGTGGTTTCGGGGTGAAGTACCATCAGTACGCTGATGACACTCAGCTGTACATCTCCACCCCGGACCACCCCAATGATGCCCTTGAAGTGATGTCCCAGTGCCTGGAGGCTGTGCAGATCTGGATGGGGAGATACAGACTCAGGCTCAACCCATCCAAGACCGAGTGGCTGTGGTTTCCGACATCCCCATATAGTCAGTTGGTGCCATCACTGACTATTGGGGGTGAGTCATTGGCCCCCATGGAGAGGGCTCGCAACTTGGGTGTCCTCCTGGACTCACGGCTGTCTTTGGAAGAGTACTTGATGGCCATGGCCAGGGGGACTTTTTATCTGGTTCACCTGATTCGCCAGTTGCGTCCCTTTCTGGATCGGGACTCATTAAATACGGTCACTCATGCTCTTGTTACTTCCCTCCTGGACTACTGCAATGCTCTCTACATGGGGCTCCCCTTGAGGAGCACCCGGAGGCTCCAGCTGGTCCAGAATGTGGCTGCGCGGGTGGTTATGGGAGTGGTGTGGCGCTCCCATGTGACTCCCCTCCTGCGCGAGCTGCACTGGCTCCCAGTGGTCTTCTGGGTGCGCTTCAAGGTTTTGGTTACCACCTTTAGAGCACTCCATGGCATCGGACCGGGGTATTTACGAGACCGCCTTCTGCTACCAATAGCCTCTCACCGACCAGTACGCTCCCATAGAGAGGGGCTTCTCAGGGTGCTGTCGGCCAAACAGTGTCGACTGGCGGCCCCCAGGGGGAGAGCCTTCTCTGTGGGGCACCTACCATCTGGAACGAGCTCCCCCCGGAGATACGGAGGATCCCGGATCTGCGCATGTTTCATTGTGCTCTCAAAACATTTTTATTTCAGCAGGCTGGCCTGGCCTAACTCTCCCTTTTAAATTTTTAAATTTTTAAATCGTTTAATTTGTTTTATAAATTGGGTGTTTTAAATTTGTTTTCGGCCAAAATATTTAATAATTTTAATGGATTTTTAATGTTTGTATTATCTGTATGTTATCTTGGCTGTTTACCACCCTGAGTCCTTCGGGAGTAGGGCGGTATAGAAAATTGATAAATAAATAAATAAGTAAAAACAAT